AAAAAACCCTCCTCACTAAGGGGTAGGATATTAAAGTTTAACACTCCTTTTTGGATGAGTTGTACTATGATGGTAATGCTTACTTCTGACTTAATTAAATCTTTGGATTTTAATTTATAATTGCTGGACCATTAGCCACCTAGTCCTGAAAGCTGATTTGAACTTCTTTCCTCCAATGAATATTTGACAAGCCCTATCAGGCACAAGTGAATCATATTATTTCATCAAGACTGAGCTTGCAACCTATAATTGCTGATCAAATCACTGTGCTAAAGGCATATAGTAATTGTTTTGGGGGGTGCATCTAGGCACTTGACTTTATATTGAGGCAAATGGCTGTTAAGCAGGTGCTGAAGTGCAAGACTTGATTTCACAATTGTATAAGTGTAGTGTGTTCTTTGGAAAGAACTGTGTGAGTTCTTCAACCTACGTGGAACAGTGAAATTGCTCTGGATGTATAGTGGTAAAAATTTCCCTCTCTCTGGACAGCTAAGCAAAGGGAGAAAAAGGAAATATAACAAAATCTGTCTCTTATCTAACCCAATAAGTATCATGTAATATTTAGGAATCAAAAGATCAAGGCTACAAGTAGCAATTACCAGTTTAGTCTATCCAGAGATTACCAGACAGTATACGTACATGGTGATATTATAAAACCAGCATTTGTTCCATGTAACATTAATGATGCAAAGGACACACTAAAATCATAATAAAATAATGGTGTTTGACAACGTTTCTGTTGAACGTGCATCCTTACGGTTCTTCCACAGTCACATCATGCTGTAGTCTGGGTTTATTGGGATTATGTTCAATCAACCAATCAGCAAGCCAAATCTGCAGAAGGAAATGAACATCTGTAAGGTCACATCCTTATAAAAGAAAGCATTTAAATCCTTTTCATTCCAATGTAAATTGAACCTTGTGGTACAGAGACCGTCTTAAAAGGACTCAAAACTTTGTATCTGCGTTCATTGTAAGCCCTTCAAGTGAAATTCTTTTACTACGTTCTCCTCCATCAGTGTTGTTCTTGAGTGCTGAGCTGCTAAAACTGAATTCTAGGGGATAAATTTTCACATCAGGCACTATGTCTTCATATGCATTTGCATAGGGGCACTTCAGCCCTAACTTAATACTACTAATAATAAGGAGGATTGTATTTAGAAAATGGAGCTACACAGAAAACAGACCCAAGTGCATACAGAAGTCAATTATTATTATGTCCACTCTACTAACATTACCAGCTATTCTAATAAACTGGGCCCTCCATACCAAGCATCACAATCTCTCACACTGTAATTGTCTTCAAATAGTTTACCGATGTCCTTACAAATGTGACATTCTTGTATTTAAGCATCCCATCATGTACCTTTTCTAAAAAACTGTAACGGTATTTTAACAAAACTGCAGGCAACAGGAATACCCAAATTCTAATCCCATCCATACTCTCACTCTGGCCTGAGGCAAATTCACCTCTCTGTCTCAAATTCACCATTTCTAAAAAGGAGTTTATAACCCTGTCTTAATTCACAGATCTGTTCATCCTCAACCTGTGGATGTAAAGTGATAAGTGCTAGTCAAGTACTTACTGTGCTAGGAAGGGGAGAAATTATAGCAACAGAAGGGAAATGTAGGCAGCATTTAGTGTCAAATACTAAAAGACTGGTTTGCATATAGTTTCAGACAAGCAGAATGCCAAGAGTCCTTGTTGGTTAGAGGGCAAGCACTAACTGAAATAACTAGAGATTTGAATAATAATGACAATGTTGACATGTGTGATCAAAATAGTACAACTGGGAGGAAAGCTTTAAGTATAGAATTTTACAGAAGTGATGAAAGAATAAATATTTCAAGAGAGCCAGAGTCCAAGTGAAGAGAACAGTGACAGCAGATGTACAGACAAGATTATTATAAGGCCAAACATAACCACTGTGACATAATCTGACCTTTTCTATAATAAAAGCTAGAGGATTTTCCCAAATTCATTTGTTAGACTCTGACTATAACTCCTGGAAAAATAGCCAATCTTGATTTAAAAATCATCAGTAATAGAGAACCTGGCATAAATTGTTTCACCAGCTAATTATCTATCCTGTTAAAAGTCTTCATCTTATTCATCTAAATTGGTTTAACTTTAGCTTAGGAAAAAAAGCTTAGGAAAAAAATGTGTTGTTAGGAGACAAGGAAGTCTTCACAGTTTTTCAGTCTGGGAGAAATGGAAAGGTTTTAGGGGCTGAAACAAAACCTGTTGAGTCAACAGGAGACTTTCCATTGACATAAATGGAATACGAGTCAAAGGGAGTAATTATAATGGATCTAAAGGCTCATTTAATGAATCTGGCCTTTATAATAGGTTCAATACATCATTAAAGGTGACTAGATTCACAAGAAAATGTAGGAAGGTTTTCTACAGCCAGCCAAGTTATTCAGCATATATTTTACCCAAAGGGAATGTAGATAATATCACTGGAGGAGAGCTTAACAGTCAAGTCATATGCTAACTAATGCAGATATACCCATATAACCAAGAGAGGCTCTGGCTCTACTTAAGATAAGCAATTAATTTGATATCACTAATTGCAACAAGTATAAAAATGTAGTCTTTCTATGTTAACAACAGTTTTAAAAAGGTACCAAAGCTTTGATGCCTATGGCATGCCTATGGCATGCTTAAGCTTTTAATTTCACTTGCTGCACAGTGGTACCAGAGATGCTTTCTTTCAGATTCTTCTCAGCAACAGTAAATACAGGTGGTCAGATATCTGACAACATATCACAGCTGCTACTTATCTCTGATTTCTAGCAGTCATACATGCAAGGCTCTCCAATAGCTGCTTTCATTGTTAGAAACAGTTTTCATAGCAACTCCCTACAAAGTTGTTACCTCAGACATTATTTCATTTAATGTTTAGTACAACAGGCAAAAAAAGAGGGCTGGTACTCAATTTTTGTAGCTCAAATATTATTCTAGTTAGATCTGCAGATGGTGGCTAAATCTGTGTAGCTCAGATTGCCTTTTAATCATACCAGAAGAGGAACTTTGCTAGAAATACCATCAGGCACCACAGAATAAACATACTACCATACCAGGCAAGAAGGCTGTATGACACACAGTACCTACCAAGGGATCCACTGGTTTATGCTTACAAAGGGCAGTGAGGCCAGCTAGTAATGTTGGATTTACGTAGAGGTTCAGGTAATCCTTAGCTGCTTGTCCAACTTGAATTGGTTCCAAAATCACTGGAAAAAGTTTAATTGTTATAAACAATATACGTATAGAAAGTGGTAGTTAGCTGTGCAGGTCTGGAGTCGCACAGAAGCTTACAGTGTTAAATGATATTCCTTCAAATGTTTGATACATGGTGGATATGTGTTCTTTCTAACTTATTATAAATAACCCTTAGTATGGCTTCTCTACAGGATGCTCACCACTGTTCAGAACAACTGCAATGTGTCACTCCTAAAAATTATTCTGGAAGGGATGTAGCTCCTGTGCACTAATTCTGCTGTGATTTTGCACTGATATGGGTGGTTGCACCAGGGAAAAGTTACTCTTACAGGTGACTGGAGGAAGAAGAAATAGAACTGTTTCTTGAAGCCGTACACACTTCACTGGATATTTATCAGAGTAAGGGGACTCATCGGGGGCAACATCTTCAGTGCTCTGTTACCATTTAGAGAAGGGAGATTCTCAGTTACCTTAAACGACTGCAAACGGTAAAGAAGATGTAAAGGTTTACTTGGTATTCTGAAGAAGAAAAATCCATTGTTTCCAGGAGGAAGATATTCTAACAACCTTTTGACTTAAAGATCCACACTAGGTTTTGAGAAATGTTTTTAAATGATAAAAATGTTTCCAACTAAACTAGGCCCCATCCTAAACATTTGGTTGGAGACAAGTAGGAATGGGGAGAAGAACCATATCCTGCCCAAGAACACTTATTATTTACAGTCTACAATCAATAACATTTTACCTTCAGGAAACATGAACCGAATTTCTCTTTCTGCTGAGGAGAATCTGAGACTGCCATGAACCGCATTCCTCAGATCATCTGTCCCATAGATTGCTCTTAAACTAAACACAAGAGAGAAAAGCATTGGCTAGCAATTGTAAATCTCTTCCAAGTGTCTACATTATCACTCGGATTGTAATAAATACAATACATAACACATAATTGCCAAAATTCATAGTTTTCTTCTTTTACTTTTTTCTGTTATAGAACCATTAGGCAGCTTATACTTCAGTACTGTATATGAACCAACAATTTTCTGTAACAGACTACATGTTGTACATTTAAAAATACAGGTGAAAAAAATCTGTATCACACCATTATCTCAAACTGAAAATGAACTATCCCAAATCCATATGCTTTTTGTACAAAAACAATGAAATTCTGACCCAGAAAAGTTAATGGCAAACCCTTTCATTGACTACAGTGAAGCCAAGATTCAAAAGAGACTCTGTTCTGTATTGAGTTACCTGTCAGGGTGTGTTTCCTTAGCTTTTATGCTGTTTGATGGCCCAATTAGTTCCTTCCAGTAGGAGATTGCACAATGTCTGGCAAGAACCATAGCAACTAAAGGTCCAGAACTCATATATGCTGTTAAATTAGGAAAAAACATTTTTCCATATTGGTCTGCGTAAAAGTTGCTACATTGTTCTGGGCTGAGTTGGAGCTTGCGTTTCTGTAAAATATAAAATGAAAAAACAGCAATATTTAATCAAAAATGCACAAGTGCAAAATTTGTGCTTCTTCCAGTACTTACTCTCATTACTCCAGTTCCTAGTATTAGAATATTGATTTAATCATAGAGTTCATAGACAAGTAGGGCTGGAAAGGATGACCTCAAGAGGTCAGCTAGTGAGTCCAACCCCCGCTCCTGAGTCAGGAAAGCTTCAAACAGGGATCCAACCTGTGAGCTTGGCATTATTAGCATCACGCTGTAACCAGTTCAGCTACTGTCTGTTCTAAAGGACTCAGAAAAGTGACAGAGAAGCATTGCAGGATCTCATATTTGTCTCTTAGGATATGTCTATAAAATAACTAGAGGTGTGATGGCAGCAAGAGCATGGATACCAGTGCTAGCTTTAAGCTAGCTAACAAAGGTACCAACAGCAGTGAAACGCAGCAGCATGGACTTCAGCAAAGGGCAGTGACTCAAGTACCTGCTCAGCACCCCAGGCAAGCCCTGTATAGCATATACTACAATCTATGCTGCTGCTTCTTTAGTTATAGGATAAAAGCTAACACAGGTATCACTAGCTATGCTAGAGTCACACCTTCAACTGCTCTGCAACAAACCTTTAGTAACCCAGACATCAGGTCTGAGAGGCGTAGAAGTAAAAACTGCAAACTCACCCTGGGCTCTGACAGCCGAGCTCTGCTCTTTCTGGCTCATGCAGTAATAATATTCTGCAGCTGGAAGTTGGGTGCTAATTCTGTTGATGTTATGTAGCTAGAGCAGAACCCGGTTCATTTTTGCAGAAGTGTATTGATTCTACAGTGTTAACAGCAGGAAAAAAGCCTTATTTTTTCCAGAAAATTAGGCAGACACACATTTGAATGCATGCAAGAACTGGTTATGGGAATAATCACTTGTCTAACTGTAAACACAGTATAGCATTTTTTTAAACCTAATGCATAATACTGATTAGACTGCATATGAGAAGCTGAATACATTAGCTGTGGTTTATGGTTTAATTGTTTAGCTACCACAATCATTTTTTCTGCAATTTTCCCTTAACTGCAGGCCACTAACTATACAACTGTTCCACGTTTCATTCAAAATACACATTTTTCAACATAATTATCCAGCTTGAAGGTACCAAGGGCTAAGGCAATAGGTTCACAGATTATCAGTGGGGATAAAGTAACCATTACAGGGAGGAAGCACAATAAATAAGAAGAAAATGTACATTTTTTTAGTCTGATCCTATGAGATATGGAACAAACAGTGCCTGTTAACTTCAATACTGATGTCAGTGGACACATCACAGGAAGCTCTAAGGACCTCCTTGCCTTTCCAGGTCTTCAATTTTAGCTTTGTGTTGTCTGATGCACTACATGTATATTAAACATTTTGAAGGAAAAATATTTTCCTGAGATACTGAAACGGAAAACTCACAGATGTTGGAGTATAGCTGAGGGGGGAGGCAAACCTAAGGTGAAATGAAGATTTCAAGTCCTTACTTAAAGGCTCCTATATATTGGCATAGAACACAATGCTATGCTCGACACCAACCCTTTTAACAGCTGAACAGTCCAAACAAAAAAAAAATTACTTGACTGTTAGGCTGTTTCCCCATGACAAAATAATATGTAATAGCTATGAAAGAGTGGCATCTAGTGGCCTATTACTGAAATCCAATAGTGACTCACGAAGGCAGACCAGTGACAGCTAACCTTTACAGCCTGAGTGTTCAATTTGTTATTTCAGAGGACAATGGATGGCCCTCAGTGCTTTAGGAAAGATCGGGGGGGGAGTGGGTCATTAAATGCTTCAAGGATTTCAACAAAAAAGAAGTTCCTGGCTGCTACTCCTGTGGTATGG